ACCACTGCCAGGGCATTGCTACTGCTGCCAGGGCATTGCTGGTGCTGCCAGGGCATTGCCACCACTGCCAGGGCATTGCTACTGCTCTCAGGGCATTGGTGCCGCTGCCCGGGCATTGCTACTGCTGCCCGGGCATTGGTGCTGGTGCCAGGACATTGCTGCGGCTCTCAGGGCATTGGTGCTGCTCTCAGGGCATTCCTGCCACTGCCAGGGCATTGCTGCTGCTCTCAGGGCACTGCCACCTTTTCCAGGGCACTGCCACCACTGCCAGGGCACTGCAGCGCCTTGGGAAAAATGCTCCAGCACTCTGTGGCAGCCAGAGAGATGGAAAGACAGGCAAGAACAGGACATGCATGTGTGTATCAGAGCAGCCAGGCTTCCAGGTGGCTCCAGGAAATTCTCGTCACCTCGCCTTCATGTTCAGCTCCCAGAAGTACCTGGGATGCAAAATGGTTTTGTTTCAAAACCCGAGGAGCCATTTTGCAGCGTAATGAATCTCAGGGTTTTGGGAATACCGGTTGCCACGCCAGGTTCCCCCAGCAAAGGCAGCAGGATGGGCTGTGCTCCGCTGAGCTGCCCCTGGGACAGAGCCTTCCCCTGGGGGATGCCAGGAGCGAGCTGCCAGCGCTCTGGATTTGTGATGGAACATTGGTTTCGTGTCATTAATCTGCTCTTAAGGCTGTGCTGTGCCTGGAGAGGGAGCAGGGCAGCAGGCACAGCACGCCAGGGACCCTGTTCCACAGACAGATTAAATCTCATCTGAAACCTGCTGAGAATTAAGCTGATTTCTTCCTGTCCTTCCTGCACTTTTAAAACTCCTCTCTTATTATTCCCTCCCTTGAGTTGTGCTTTCTCTCAACAAATCCAGCTGCTTCAACCTTTTCCCACAGATCATCTTTTCTCAGCTCTTTATTATTTCTCATTTCTGGAAATCTTGATTTCCACTCAACCCTTCGTGTTTTTGAGATTACCATGAATTTTTAATGTATGTTAGTGATGCGTTTGTGGCTTCTAGTTTGCTGCTCTTTAAAAATAAAAAAATATTAATTCTGTTTTTTCTGGTTTTATATTAATTCTGGGTTTTTTTCTAAATCATTTGGGATAATGTGGAATTAGCAAAGCTGGAAGCAGATCACTATACAATACCCCATAGGCTGATCTATGACAAAAAAAAAAAAAAAAAAAGAGTATTCATTTACTTTTAAACTCATTTGTTTGCCCTAACTGATTGCTCTTATTTTCTATATCATCATACACCATGGTGTCAATGACCTTACACCAAGCTGTACCCACTGGTAATTTTCCATATTAAGCCAGCTATTCTCATAAATGAATTTTTTTTATTTTTTATTTTTTTTTTAGTTTATTTTTATCCAAGTCATAGTTAAGAAATTTCCTCCAGAAATCCCATCTCTCTAGGATGGGATTTAGGCTGACTGAGCTATGGATCCCTGCCCTCCTTTTTTTCCTGGCTGTTCCCCTGTTGATACAAAATGCTCACTCTCTTCTTTTCCAGTGCCACCTTCAAAGCCAATTCAAAGGTCAAGCATTCTACCATTAGCAAAATTGAATTTTGATTAATTCTGGACAGAATGTCCTGAGCCTAAAACACCTCTAGTTCCTCTAGATTTGGGGTTTTTTTTCTATTCTATTCTATTCTATTCTATTCTATTCTATTCTATTCTATTCTATTCTATTCTATTCTATTTCTATTTCTATTTCTATTTCTATTCTATTTTTTTTCTATTTTTTTTCTATTCTATTTTTTTCTATTCTAAAAGGTGATCTCATTTTAAGTAAACAATCAAGATTAGCCTTTTCTCAGGAAAGAATTCTCATCACTGATTATCTAAACTCTCTGCATTATCTGTTATTTCCCATTTTTAGCTTTTAGACAATAGAAGAGCAATGAGAGAAACTGAGTTTTTCATCACTTACACTTTCCAGCCTGTGAAGAAATTCACAGCAAGCTCAGAAATGCAAAGGCTCAGTGTCAAGATCCCCTTGACTCCAAGAAGTGTCAGAACTTCGTCTAAAATTCTTCATGATTAAAAAAAAAAAATCCATTTATATTCTGTTACTGATCTGTCATCTTAGACGTTCTTGTTAATTTATAGGCTGGAGCTTAAACAAGGAGGGGAGAAGCTTTAAAGAAAACGCAGTTACCAGCTGAGCTTTGCTGATCAGGTTTAGCAGCTTTAAAGCCAATTAATTTTCTGTCCAAACCTCCTGCAGTAAAATTGGACAGCAGACAGGGATGGGATGGATGCCAGGTGGGTTTCACAAGGAGCTCACTCCTCAGGGAGAGCAGGAAGGAGCCCTTAGTGCCAGACCTGAACAGAAAAGTTCCTTTGTTTCTCCCAATAAACACTGAAATCCATAAGGGGGGCAATCAGCAGAGTGGATGAGTTTTAGTCAAATAAGAAAGTGATAAATTTTTATTTTTAATGGCTTAGAAGGATTATAGTGTGCAATGACTGTGTTCATATATTAAGATACTTAGTGGAACACTAAAGAGCAGCCAGCAGAAAAGTGCTCAGTATTTGTGATCAGCACAATAATTATGGAAAGTTCTCTTTAAACAGGGAGAAATAAATGTAAGATTGATTTCCATTTTCATTTTCAATTTCAATTTCCAATGTAGGAAGTATTTCCATTACTGAAATATTATTTATCTTCACAAGAGGAGAGGCTGACATTTTCAATGGGTGTTTTAAACTTTCTGAACTCACCATTTCAAGCCTAAACTCTATAAAATAGATGTTGAATTCATTTTATTTTATATACCTATATACATATATGTATGTATCCTCACCTATATTCATGCAGCAAAACCAGAAGCTTTGTTGCTCTTAGTAATTTTAAAAATTTCATGCCAAATAATAAGCTCACCTAGGTTACTATGGCCATACTCACTGACTTTACTCCTCAAATTCTAAATTCCTCTTATTATCCCAGAAATCCACTCTATTAAAGGTTATTCATTGGAATGACAATCAACTCTGTAAGAAATCACTGTAAAAAACCTAGAGTCATCTTGGATTGAACTGCAATAAGCAGTCCTTCATTGTTTTAAAAGTGGGACTTTACTCATTTTTGTTGGATTTTATGAAGTTTTTAAATAGAGCAAACTTCTGCAACAGGAGCAATTGATTTCCCATGGGAAAAATATTATAAAATTATTGTATCCCAAAATTAACTTCTGGAGCTTAATGGTAGTTGGATATATTGGCCACATAAACTAATGGAGATAATCCAAACCCAAATGCTCTAAAGAGGTCGCACCATTTCCCCAAGAGCAAACAGCTCAAATGCAGTAACAGGCAGATGCTCCTCAGTAATTAGATTTGTGTAAGTTTTCCTTATAACTCATAAATAACTGTGGGTAAATGTCTGTGTTCAGGCCCTTGGCAGGCGTCATTGGGAAACTCCAGGTTGTGTCATCACTGCAGACGAGCCAGGGTTTCAGAAACACCCAGCACAATATTTTAAGAAATGTCACTTCCTAAATCTTCTCTGTATAAACAGAGCAGCCTGAGAGTATCAGGGAAAAAACAGGAGACTGCTAAATATGACAGCAGAGCAGTGGTGAGACTTTGGAAAGCCTTGAGATGCTAAAGATGCAGATAGGCACCTTATGGGATTTTCCAAAATTCCTAAGCGGGTAAGGCGCTTACACCATGCTTAGGCACTCTGAAAATCCTGCTAAGGACATATCTTGCATCTTTAGGGATCTAAATCTCACCCTCCATGTGCAGTTCCTCTGATTCTTTGCTGTAAATCGTGTCACTGTGACACGCAGCACGTTTGGCTGGGAGCTCAGGAAAGGGGGAAAGGAGGGTGGATTAGGTCTGAGAGGATTTAGAGAGGAAATCACTGCACACTGCTGGGGCAGAGATGGAAATATATCTTGTTTCAGCACTTCTCTTTATTACATGAGCCCCATACTTAGTACAAGTGGTCCTTTGTACATTCCATCTTTCATCTTTTTTTTTTTTTTTAACAAGAGTAGAATGACAAGAAATAAAAAGGGCTCAGTGTTCTCAGAAGGACTGAATATGAACAAACAACATCCACGAAGCTAAACAAAATAACACTGTAATTCTAGATCGTGTTAACGTTTTCTATTTACTTATTGACATCAACAGCAAGGCTTTGATTGTGTTTTATAACTACATGGCCTTGAAATATAACACATATTCTCAGTATTACAACTCATTTGGAAAAAAACAACTCATAACCAGAAAATGGTTAACATTAAATAATCTGAGGTCATTTTCCACTTACATCATAAATTTCTATATTTCATAGAAATGGGTTTTTTGCTGTGTTTAATGGGTTAACATAGCTTAATGTCTTAATCCCTTGAGTCACAGGATTTAAAACAGGTATTCAGAATTGGTTTTATTAACTACCACTACACTATGTATTTAAACACTAAGTAGCTGCTTAACTTGTTGGAAGTTTCCTGAACTGACAGAAATATTTAGACAAGAAACAGACATCACAACACTCATCCCGATTTGTTTTCATACACGAACAAAACTTTGGCTCTACGTTTTCATAACAAACTCCATTTAGCTTTGCAGACTATTGGCGATGACAGCGAATCTCTGTTTCAGCTTCTCCCTTTTCTGCTTCAAATGCTTTTCTATGGCCCTGGCTTCTTTTAGGATCTCATCAAGTTCCTGGACATAAGAAGAATCCAACGCTATTCTTGCACTAAAGTGAAGAAATCTGTGGTTAAAATCAGTGCTTATGCCATTAACTTTCTCACTACTTTTATGTTTTTCTTAAAAATTGGTTGTCTATCAATACACAGTTTCTGACCATATTAATCCTCTGTTGTAATAAAAGCCACCATTTTTCTTTCAAGATCTGCTTGACAGTTTTCAGTGTTAATTTCCCTAAACTGCAGCCACCCATCCATCTTATCTAGAGAATTTAAAAATTGCTGTGCAAATTACACAAAGTTAACTTGCCTTATAGTGTCAGCATATTTTGACAGCAAGTTATTAATTTCTTTGCTGATCTCTGTTAAGAAAGAAAAAGATAATTTTATTTAAACATTTGGATGAATCTCAAGATGAAATTAGGTCATCCCATACTTACTTCCAGTATATTTACTACATCACCATTTAAAACCTTTTCCAGTGGTTCAGTCTTGAAAAGGGACTGCGAGTCCTCAGAAGGAGCCAAATCTGTTTTGTCAGACAACGGAGGATTTTCTGAAGCTTCATTCTAACAACAGAGCACATTAGGAAAAACACAGTACTGGGATTTAAAACAAGCTCTGCACGGAGTTTAACTGAGAGAAAGAAAAGGTTTAAAAAGACCTTGAGGATGTTTTTGGAGAAAATGAAAGTGGGTTCACAGTATCGTGAGCATCTTGGGGAGTGGGTGGAAGTACCAGATTGAGATGTCTCTATATATAGACATTTATTTATATATACACACACATTTATATCTATATACTGATATATGTAGTATATGTAGCTCAGTAAAAGCTGGTGCACTTCAGAAGCTCGTTCTCAAGAAGTTCTACATAAATATATCCCAGTGCTTACCCGATTTTGTTGGGCTTCAAGCCCTCAGAGAAACTGCGGTTTCCCTACACAGAAAAAGTAATTTCTGCTCCCCTAAAGCTCCCTAAGGTGCCGTGGATCTCTGTTCCTTCAGTCCAGAGGAGGACATGGCAAGGGGGGTCCTCCCTCACACAGCACTGCTCACCTCCATCTTTTTGCTTTTATTTCTATTTTGGTCTGCTTCTTGCGAGTTGCTCGCCATGGCTGCCTCACGAAAAGCACGAGATGTTTGCTGAGAGGTCACGCTGGGAAGAATGTTTAAATAAAAACCTGTAAAACCTGCAGCTCGTTCCTCTGCAAGGGCGCTCCTCTCACGGGGGAGGCAGCTCCTCAAAGGGCTGGAGGCGGCGGGGGGATGGCGGGGAGTCCCGGGCCGGCCTAAATTCGATATCCGATGGGATTTAAATTCGATATCCGAGGGGATTTAAACCTTTCTGATCCCCCCAGAGCCTGAGGGCACCGAGGCGCCCAGGACGCCCCGGCCTCGCCGCTTCCCCTTCAGGCCGGCGGGCAGTGGCCGTGACGGGCCGCGACTGTGGCGACAAGGGAAAGGGGACAAGGGACGACAAATAAGGGACAAGAAAGGACACGAGGGACAGGAAACAAGGGACACAAGGAACACTCGCTCCCCTCAGGCCTGGCAGCGCCTCGGTGCCAGCCTCGGTGGCAGCGGCAGGAGCGGCCCGAGGCGCGCCCTGAGGGCCCAGAGAGCGGCCCGGGCCCGGACCGTTCGATTAATTAAAACTTTGAGAAGTTCCTCAAATGTCCCGTCAAATTTCACCTTCTAAACGAAATCCTTGGAACGCGTCTCACGCGCCATGGATCTGCCTCAAAAAACGAGCGAGAAATGAGCGCAGTTGGAGCGACCAGGCACTAAAATGAGTAAAAACGCTAAAATTAGTAACAGCACGAAAATGAGTAACAGCACGAAAATGAGTAAAATCTAAAAACGCATAAAAACACTAAAATGAGTAACACTAAAATGGGTAACACCACCACAACACAGGGCTGCCAAGACCATATTTTCTCTCTCTGTCTAATAAGCGGAGAAAAAAATTGTAGATTTCCCGAGACTGTGCTTCACTGCTGTAGGTGAGCCAAGTCTTTGTTCACTAGACCGAAATAAATCATTGCAAGACGGGAATTTATGATTATGTTATGCAATATTATCTGTCTCAATTATGATATATTAAAGTTATGGCATGTAAGGTTATGTTTGCCTCTGACTTGTGCTTTTTTCATTTTTTTCTTTTCTTCCTTTTTCTGTTTTCTCTTTTGAAGACAGCAAAGGACCTGAATCTCACATACATCATCCACAGAAGAAATTAAAATATCAGCATGAGAAATCAAACTCCTGAAGGTACAAGAACTAAATACTTCCTCAAAGTAAAAACAACTTTTAATAAGCAGCCATAGCCATAATTCATTTAATTATCAGATATTTAATTATGTTACAAGCATTACTATCAAAACATCAACAAAAAGATATGACAGAACATGTTAGGAAAATATTAAGATGGCCACTTCATTGTGTCATGGTAATAGCTTTCACTACCAGACCACCTGGAGTAAAACAAATTAGACATCTGAATTTTCATTTCCATTTTCTTATGGATATGATAGTCTATAAATAAAACTAGGACTAAAAGTAACATTAAAATATTTAAAAGAAAATTATCTAAGAGGAGAGAGTTCACTCTTACTGGAGTTCCAGTTCCTTTCAAACTGGAGCAAAATGATCCAAACCATTACTCTAAAAGTAGTTGCAGTTCCTCTAAAATTGGAGATATTAAATTCCAGGAGAAATGAAAAGTCTAAACTGTACCACAAACACCATTGTATGAGTTAGATCTGGTCCTGAAAAATGCAAATATATGCACAAAGGATAAGGAAATGCCTTTTATTAAATGTGTTCAGTGAACTAATGGAATTTTAAGGCTCTCAAAGGCTGACATGAAAGACAAAGTCCTTCTTCCTGATAGCTTTGTATGGAATATCAATTGGCCAAAAATATCAGTGCCAACGGCTAATACAAAATAAATAATTATCTGAATATATATTTAAACTTAAATGATAAATGAGTAGTACAGCATTCATTTTTGAAAAACGTTCTTGGCTACACCAGCCAAAATCCAGGGTTATTAGTCAAATAGGCAGCTTTTAATCTCAAAACCACCTCATGTCTATCATACAGATATTAAATCATCCCTGTTAACTTTGGTGTTTTTTTTGTTTTTGCCTCCGGGAGCAGTAAAAGGCATGTGAGCAGCTGAGATAATGTCCTGGAAACTCAGGTTTGGGTTTGATGTGGGATTTTGTGGGAGTGTTTTTATAATCCTCACAAGCTGGGGCTCTTCAATTTACCCCCCAATCTGCAGGGCTGAGTGCCCTGAACTGTAACCAGCCACAGAAACAGCAAATCCAGGCACTGAGACGCAACAAACTGGGGGGACTTTATGGTGCTTGTATCCCCAGTTCTCTGTTTAGCCCAGAAATAAGTTTTGCACCTTTAAGGCTGGTTCTGAGAGCGGAGGGGGGAGAGAAGAAACGCAGAGTTT